TCCAAGTGTCATTAGGAGAAGGTAGGAATAACTTCTAACCAATGGTCTAGTTGTTCAGAGCCTGAATAAGGAAGCAACTGTTATAAATTAGCTACAAGTGTATCCAAGTGTCATTAGGAGAAGGTGGAATAACTTCTAAACCAATGGTCTAGTTGTTCAGAGCCTGAATAAGGCAGCAACTGTTATAAATTAGCTACAAGTGTATCCAAGTGTCATTAGGAGAAGGTGGAATAACTTCTAAACCAATGGTCTAGTTGTTCAGAGCCTGAATAAGGAAGCAAATTTTATAAATTCCAATAATTGTTTAATTGTTTTGTGTAATGAATTTGTGAAATTTCAACACATTTCATAGTGAGCCCCCCACCCCCCTAATCAGCAACATGTTTCATGGAAGAGATAAATTTAAGAACATGGCCAATTGTTTTGTATTGATGATTTGGTAGTGCAATATAATATATATATATATATATATTGTGTGTGGAAAATGTTGATTAATTTTTACATAGAGATGGTATAAAAAAGAAACTTATAATTGTACTCCTTGTACAACTTTTTGAAACAATATATGTATTAGTAATGTAAAGACACTTTCTGTATTATTTAAGAGTTTAAGCTAAATAATTTTTTGGAATATATTTAAGAAGCAGACATTTTTGCTTGTATTCAAAGCAACTGTCAACAATAAAACCTGAAATTAATGATTTAGTTTCTTCTAAACTTGAAAAGTAAAGAGAATAAATATATATTTGTTAATAACGACTTCTAAGGGCATAATTCATGTAGAATATTTGAAGATTTAATAAAATTAATATCACCATTTTATGGTCACTGGATCTCTTTCCAGTGAAAGCAGCTTCTTCAAAAATTTATGAACAACGTGATTACAGATGTGTATACAATTTTATATATAAACCTTTTTAGGCAATTGGGTTTGTGAAATAATGTTAAAAATAAAAGTTGAAATTATGACCTTTTATTGTCTTACTATTTCAGGATCTTGTATGCCTTTTTTTTTACTCCCACTCTCCCACATTCAGCAAAATATTGTTCTCTGAAAAAAGTGATAGGAGTTTTAAATCAATTAATTGTTCTCATATTAAAACTATATCCAGCTATCTTACACAACTTGTATATCATAAATACCATTAGGTGAAAAGTTATTTCAGATTCTTTGAACATTGTAACAATTTGCATTTAACATTTATATTCATATATATATATATTTGAAGGATCCAGGCATAAGTAGTGGAGAGGAGCCAGGGACTTACCCTCCTTATGATCAAGGTCTTCAGATGGATATTTTTGTTAAGAACAGTACTGGCCAGATATTTGAGGGAAAAGTAGGTTTTTTTATCTGATTATACAATGTTTAACATCACACTCTTAATTTTAGACATTTAAAATAAGGATGATGTTAAATAAAACTTGTTAGAAATGTTTTTGCTCATTTCATTTTTTAGTATGTAGTTTGTATTCTTTTAGGGAGTTTTGGCTTACCAAATTTTAGGGCTGTGTTAACCCTACCAAGACAAGTCTTCTTATAATCATGGATCAAAAGTCATTTTATTGCATTTGTAGACTTGCATTCAAAATTTTATTGAACTGCAATTTTGTGAATGTATGTCAGTAAGTTTGGTTTCAAATTGTACATTATAATTCAAATTTTAGTGTTATACATTAGTTAATTTCTTAATTTAAAAGTAAATATTTTAAAAAAATCTTAAATATCGATTTTTGTGTTTTCACGGGGTATGTTGAATGCAACATTGGTTCAAATTAGATGTTTGTCCTAATTCATAACAAACTTTATAGTTTTTTATGAATTAGAAACTCAAATTACCGATATTGACAAGCTAGAATATAAAATAAGAACCTTTTATTATTTCTATTTGCTGAGATATTGCTACATTTACTGAATCAAACACACTGAGCCCACCCACCTCTTTCTATTTTTGGAAATGCTCCTTTATATACACTTACTTCTGTATATGACACGAATAATCACTCGAAACCTCAGAATGTCCCCCACATGGTTTTGTGAGCCATTTTGACATGATATGTTGTTAATTTTGTTCTTTTCACACAAGATTTCAAACAATAAGGTAAGTCTTTATTTAACTCGAAATTTCATATTTTTTTAGACCCAAATACAGATTAGTTACTATGCTTGATAATTTATAGTGGAATTCTATGGTATCAGTATAGTAATTTATGATTTTTTGGTTACTTAAAATGTATATATGAAACCTAAAAAAAAATTATTTTCACATCCTCCATGTGGAAAATTCCATAAGGCTCAGCAACCTACAAGTGGCAAATGAGTACAAAGGTCATAACTAGAAGAGATAATTGTTTGTTTTACTTCTTTATTTACTGTTCTGTGTTTTAAGAAAAATAAGTTTAAGAACTTATTTGTAAATAGTAATAATGTATAATAATTGAAATGTGACTATTTTACAAAATACTAGTCTACTAAACAGCCTAAACAGGTCACTTTGTGAAGACTAAAGGTCAGTTGTCAAGTGCATGTATGGTGCATCGTTGTAACTTTTGTATTGTTAGCCAGGCATGGCTGGAAGGTCAATATAATAAGAATAATAAATATATATAAATGTATAATGTTATGAGATTTAAGCTATTTAGACTAAACATTTGTGTTATAATCTGTAATCATTCTAGAATGAAAAAATCATAATTTATATTTTTTCCTAATTTTTTAATGAGGTTTTAAAGTAGGTCAAATCAAACCAACCCGTAGAGAAATGCAGTAGTGAAAATAACAAATAAAATATAAAGTTTTGTCTCAAAAAAATTTGATGATAATTTGGAGATTATAAAGATTTCTTGTGAAATTTGAAAATGTTCTAATGCGTTAAAGTATCTTAAATCTTGAAAGCAAAATTGCTTTACATGTTGGATAGTCAACATTCTGAAAGAAAAAGGTTTACGAGAAAATCTTTAATTAAAAAATCTTAATACTTAATTTAAAAACCTAATATTTTGTGTATGAAAACCTTGTAATGTTTACCAATAACGTGCAAAATTTTGTAAAGATGTGCATATATTATCAAAAATCATAGTATAATTACTCTCATGGATACTCTAATAATTACAAGTTGGGTGGATTCCACCCAGCCCATAATGGAAGGGTTAAACCATTTGATAGATTTCTTTTCCTCAAAATTATACTCACTATTCATTGTTATTTGTTATGTTTATTTAATATCCACTAGTTTTTTCTCTACAGTGGTGCTGTTGTGGCTTGTACTCTACCTACAGAAAAACGTTTACCATAAAGATAGCACATGTATTTGGTGTAAAATATATATAATCCTTGTATTTTGTCATTGTTGTTAAAATGTTATTTAATCTAATCTTTTCATTTTCTATGTATAATATAAAAATTTCTGAATGATTCATATAATTTAAATGTAATACATAACCACATAACAGTATTTGTTACAGGACAGAATTTAACACCAGTATAAAAGAAATTCATAATTTATATTAATTTGTAGGTATGGAACTACAAGTTAGCTGTATTTCCAGACTTCACAGACCTCAGAACTGTGGACTATTGGACTGATCAGTTCCAGAATTTCCATAAGGAAATCAACTTTGATGGAGCATGGATTGTATGTATGAATGTGAAGTTTGAGACTGTGGTGCTGTGAGGGCTGTAATTCCCCTCACTTCACTATTAGCTGAATGTTGAGCAATAGCAATAGAGTATTAAAAGACAAAATTACTGTTCTTATTTCAATATTGTGAATTTTCTTTGTTGATTATTTCAAGAAAGTCTATTTATTTTTGTCTCCTAGTATTGTTACTTAGTAATAAAGAACTGAATTCACATAAGCTTAAATTGGCCATTGGAAATGAATATATTTTAAAGAATGTACTACCTTCATCTATGCTGCTGTGTGGTTACAATGCAAAGTTTAGTTTTTTTTTAATTGTTAAGCGGCTTTATTTTAAAAAAAAGTATTCAACAAATGAAAACTAACAATTTCACTAAACATTCAAATAAAAAGTAAAACTTTGAACTCGAGCATTACTGTTAAAGAGTTTCAGTTGTGTCAAAGTCAACTTATTTTTTGGAAGATGTATGATGTGTTCTTATGTGCAACTAAATTATTACAGAATGCCATTTTGTAACCTTGATCATTTTTTATTTATTTCTGTGAACCGTTGTTATCATATAGGACATGAATGAACCTTCAAACTTCTACAATGGACAAAAAGATGGTTGTCCTAAAGATTCTCCATTAGAACACCCTCCTTATATACCAGGAAATGACCCTTTGTGTACGAAGACCTTTTGTATGACTGTACAACACAACCTTTCTGTGCATTATAATGTTCATAATCTGTATGGGTTCTTTGAGACTATAGCAACAAATATGTAAGTTAATTATGTTTGTTCTTTTCATTTAGATTTTCTTAGGAAAACCAGCTTTTTCTACACTTTTGTTTAAGATTAATAGAAGCTGGTGGCTATATAGTCTCATCTGTTTTTTCTGTTTCCATAAATTACATGCAATTGTTGTGTTTTATGTATTTGTTTGTTTTTTAATTTTATGTATGCTTAATTATGTTTTATATACAAACTGGTGTTACAATTTCTTATTCTAGGACTTTTCTATAGAATGTGTAATTTTTATAGGAGTTACCTGAGAAATCTGTTACATATTTCTTGTTTATCATTTTGTATTGCATAATTACATCTGTAGTTTACATGTAAAGGTTTTTTCATGTGATAGAGATAATTAATGAACCATAAACTTTAATTACAGAATATTTGTACATGAAGGTAAGAAAAAAGACATTTACTAGGCAGTTTCAGATATTTACTTTTCTTTAGAATCATGAGCATGATTTTCCATTAATACATGTTTAATGATTGTTTCTAGACTCTTGTTCCTGGAGAATGTGACACATTAATCAATACATTCACATTTTAACAGTTTTTGCACCACCTTCATAGTTAGAAACACTACTTGATATTGAAATATACTTTTGTTTAAATCAAATTGAGGACATTTTTAAAATGACTAAGTATATGACATACAATTCTCTCATATTTTTTTAATAATTCTTAATTGAATTTGTCATACTGTTGTCAGTTGCAATTTATTAGAAAGAAATTTTGCTTCCTCTAGTAATAACTTTTCCAACTCTTCCTCATGAACATATTTGTAGATTACTTATCATGCTATTCAGTGGGTCTCAACCTAATTGTTTGTGAAACACTTGAATTTTTTTTATCAGTAGATCACAATGGAATCTATATACTATGCTGCTGCTTTTTTATGTTTTTTTATTAGTAAGTCATGATGAGATCTATGCACTATGGTATTGGCTTTTTCTGTTTTTATTAGCAGATCGCAATGAGATCTATACACTATGCTGCTGCTTTTTTATGTTTTTTTATTGGTAAGTCATGATGAGATCTATGCACTATGGTATTGGCTTTTCTGTTTTTAGTTAGCAGATCACAATGAGATCTATACACTATGCTGCTGCTTTTTTCTGTAATTAAACAACTTTGTCATGGACCAAGGATTTAGAATTACTGGTGTAGACAAATTAATCCAAATAGTTTTTCTCTCTGTCTTTGTAAACTTTGGCTTATGAAATATGATAAGAACAACTGAATACCTAAAGTAATTAAACATTGTGGAATTCCACTGGAGAAATAAGGTAAGAAACATATAGATATATATAAGTTTGTGTTCAGACATTTGGCACATCTTCACTTGAGCATGAGCAACAAAGAACAGCAGATAATTTCAACACACAGGCTGTAAGTTATCAGTTGAAGCTAGTGAAAAAAAAGCTATGGTTCTATTTATGGTGTGTCGTTGTTGGACTTAACAATACATCAGTACATAATGTTGTGCTCATTTAGCTACATCCTTTGACATGTTGATGTGACAGTTAAATTAGGTGGACAAAATGAACTATTAAGAGAATGTAAGCTATCTAGCAACAATTTTGTAAAGACAAAATCCATTTAAGTTAGTTCTTTTCGAACACCTGTCTTTATACAGATGAGAATTTTGAATTCACTTCATACTATGATGCTCAATATAAGTAAAATATATAATATGATTACTCAATCTTTTCCCTATAAAAACTTTTGCTATTTTTTAAAGAGTAAGAAGGTTGGATCATTATTAGATATTCATACACACACCACAGCTTATAACTTTCTATTACATATTCTTAATCACAGTGCCTTTTGTAATGAGTCTGCAACATTAAATTTGTCATATGTTTCATATCTAACTTTTCAACATATTAATTTTGGAAAGTTTTTTACTTGTAAGTGTCCATAAGATTATTTGGTGCATTGTAATGTTAAAAAAGGGTAACTTGATTATGAACCTAAACCTTTATAAAGTCACAACAGTTGTTCTATTGTTGCTGGTTTAGGAAATATAAATGCTTTTGTGCTCATCCTTCACAGCTTTTGTAGAACTCATCTATATATATACATTTCTTTTTCTTCACACTGTCCTGGTTAGAACCTAACTAGATACTAATGTTAAATATCAAATAATTTTTATAGACAATATGCAACTTTGTTTCTGAAGAAAAAAGAAGGCAAAATTAAATAAATTATACACTTATGAATATAATCTGGAAATTAATTTACAAACATAATTATGTATCTTGAAAGAATGATTAACTTGAAATGTTGATGAACTGGCTTTGTATGTGGTCCATAAAAATTTTTTTTTTTTATAATATCTTTTGCAAAATACATTTCTAAGTGGTTATAATATGGCTAGTTATCGTTTTCACTCATTTCCATATAATGCCTTGATAAATAGAACTATTTTTGATAGTTGATTAAAATGAGACTTTAGTAATTCCCATCATTAACTTCATTATAGTACCTGGTGGCCCGGCATGGCCAAGTGGTTAGGGCGCTCGACTTGTAATCTGCGGGTTGCGGGTTTGAATTCCCATCACACCAAACATGCTCACCCTTTCAGCCGTGGGGGCATTATAATGTGATGGTCAATCCTACTATTCTTTGGTAAAAAGAGTAGCCCAAGAGTTGGAGGTGGGTGGTGATGACTAGCTGCCTTCCCTCTAGCCTTACACTGCTAAATTAGGGATGGCTAGCACAGATAGCCTTCATGTAGCTTTGCACGAAATTCATAACAAACAAACAATAGTACCTGGTGTAGACACCTGTTTTAGATGTTTGGTTAAAACATTAATTATTATTTTCATTCATTTCTTTTTAGTGCATTAGTTAGAACTCGTGAGCAAAAGAGACCATTTATCATCTCACGATCCACATTTCCTGGTCAAGGCTATTTTGGAGGTCACTGGGATGGGGACATTTTTTCATCTTGGGATCATATGAGATGGACAATACCTTGTAAGTACAAAAATACATTTGCTACTCAAATACATAAATAATGTCTATGCATAGTACTGGGCCAGTAATGAGATAAAAATAAACAAGTAGTTTGGTTTGGTACCAGCCTTAACTTATGAGTTAATAGTTTCATTTGAGTTTACTTACTCTAACTTGTAAAAGTAATTTACTTATGTATGTTTATAATATACTTAGGTTTCCATTCTACAAACACAATCTATATTTTTCTTGTTGCCAGTAGTTTACTCTGTCTTACAAGTAGCAGGGGCTGATAATCCTGAGGATATAAAGAATGAAATAAATATAATTGTGACTCACAAGTTTAAAGTTCACATTTTTAGTGCAGAAAAATGTTTTGATTGTTACTGACACACCATATTTTGTGACAAAAGTAAATAAAAGCTTAGGAAATTTGTATTTGTTTTTTTAGTATGTAGACTAATATGAGTTTCATATTTCTGATTCATTAGCATTTTTGGCTTTTGAATCTACAATTCTGATATTACAACACAAAGGTTGTAGTTCTTTGGATCTTTCCATAACTGGTGGCCTTATTTATGTAAGAATCATAAGTTTATAAAAAAAAATAAGATCATGACTTAGAAATTTAAGTTTGAGCAGACAGTAAATTTAAATTGAGCCCGATATGCTTGTTGTAGTTAAATATTCTTTGAATTTTTAAAATTTAATTAGTTGAGATGCTTTGGATTTAATACATGATATATTCGGGTTTTTGTTATATAGGGAAATCATTTTTAATAGTCTTTGTTCACTTTTGCAAATAATATGCAGGAATCATTATTTATGCAATATATTATAGTGAGTTACTTATTTAAATCAATAGTACAAAAAGGAAACATAATTTTTTTTTTTTATGTAATCTGGATACCATATTTGAAAAATGATAATTTAAAGGTACTTTTTTAATTTCTCCAGTGGCTCAGTAGTAAGTTTGAGGGCTTATAATGTGGTGATGAGAACACATATAGCCCATTGTGTAGCTTTATGCTTGACATTAAACAAACAAAGCAATCATTCTGATAAGCTACTAGATGCTGTAACAACTGTTCTAGGTCCTTGAATCTATTGGTTAAAATTCCAAAATTTAAAAGAACAAATATTTTTAATATTTTATGCACACACATTTCACCACACCACCCAATGTGCTGCAGAAATGCCTGATTTTTGCCTTTACTTAGAACATCATATTAGTTATTTTATCACTCGCATTCTCTTAGGAAGCAATAAACTTCTGAATTTTAAAATATGAAATATGACAAATACATTTTTTAAGCACTTGTCAAAACGAGCAATATTTTTTGTCAGAATTCCATTAATTTTGTTTTACCTGCCAAGCTTAACAAGGTTAATTTGGCATGAAGGGCACATCCTAATAAAGCAGTTATGTAGCCAAAGTTTTCTAAACTAAAATGTAATATACAAACAGGTTTTTCACTTTGCCAACTTTTTCAGTTTTAAAGTTATTTAAAAACTTCATACCATGTAATCAAAATGGTTACTGGACAGGTCAGTAATTTTGGTTGTGTTAAAAGCTATCCTAACCCCTTCAAAGATTCAGTATGTGAGAACTTGGCTAGATGTAAGACATGGACATTTTGTGACTATGTTTTTAATTATTTCAAAAGCTTTATAACTAGTGAAAAAACAAGCATTTTATGCTTTTAATGAATTTGAAATTAAGCAAAGGCAAAGTTTAAAAAAAAAAGCTATGTATATTAATTTTGTAATATCTTATAGTGAAAAAACTGTTAAGGAACAAAAATTTGAAAATTATATATAGAAATTATATATTGTATTACTAAACTAGTCTCTTTAACAGCTATCCTGAATTTCAACATGTTTGGTATTCCGATGGTTGGAAGTGACATATGTGGGTTTAATGGAAACACAACAGAGGAACTCTGTGCCAGATGGTCAGCTCTCGGAGCTTTTTATCCTTTCTCACGTAACCACAACAGTGATGAACAGATAGTGAGTTGTTTACAGTTAATGTATGTCATGAAGCAGTTGTGTATTGGATGTATTTATGTAGCCACACATCATTTATTGCCCTGTTTTCTTGAACCAGTAGTGTTTTGGATGTTTTGTCATAACCACGGTTGTGATAACTTGTTAATCCTATTCAGGAATTAGTTGTGTTTGAGATGTATTGTCATAACCACAGTAATGATATCTTGTTAATGCCCTTCTTGAACCAGTAGTGTTTTGAATGTTTTTTCATAATCACAGTAGTGATAACTTGTTAATGCACTTCATGAATCAGTTGTTTTTTGGATGTTTTGTCATAACCACAGTAGTGATAACTTGCTAATGTCTTTCATGAATCAGTTGTTTTTTTTAATGTTTTGTCATAACCACAGTAGTGATAACTTGCTAATGTCTTTCATGAATCAGTTGTTTTTTTTAATGTTTTGTC